CAAATACTGAAGAGCAAATCCATCAATGAACAGCTTCACAAATCCTAAACCAAGCAAGTGGCAAGGAACAAAAACTTATCACCGTTATTCATAAAAAAATGTATTGCGATATATGTAGATAGCCCTACCTCAGAATAGTACAACTTGTGAAATATACCTAAAAAAGTTTACTTTACTAATGCTAAGATACCTTAATATTGTATAAAACTAATCAGGCACTGAGAAATTCCCAACATTGTAGGTTGTTCCCTAATTTTGTATGTTGTCTGAAAAAGAGGACTGAATTTAGATGAATCAAATACTAAAAAGCCCAGCATTATGTAGCTGTTATTGAGCCATGTAATAATCATCATGACCAACTAGGTTCTAGTAAAATCCAGATTTCAGAGTTGAAGTTCAGTTTAGTTCAGTTCAGTGTGGTTTAAACTTCACTGCTGAATGTTCAAACACTCAAGAGCAAATCCATCGATGCACAGCTCCACAAAGCTATGCACCTATAGCATAACATCACAGCATAACATTTATTCTGTCTTGAAAACTTTCAAAAATGCACAAAACAACTCAAATATTGGGGAAGTTGCAAATAAAATAAGTAAAAACATAAAATAAAGTGAATGATTACAGTAAAGCTAACCGTATATGTGCTAGTGCAAGCGTCCTTTTAAGAATTAAATCTCTCGTCATCATCTAATGTTTTTTTTTAAGAAATATAATTCTAAGATACGAGACAGAATGCAATGAGGGGAATAAGTCATTCTCTGAAAAAACAACAACAATAATAACAAGGGGAGGCAGAAACGCAGACCCTCCCAAACCTGTGTTCTTCACAACAATAAAACAACACTCTTATCAGGTTTTAAGGAGAAGTGTAAGCCAAAACCATGTGGGAGACGAGGAGGAACAAAGGTGAAGACCAGAACGTGTCTGACGCTACATTATTGTTTCCCCCCTTTGTTAGCGAACACTGCTTTTTTGAGAACTTGATGAACTTTTTGTCGTTGCCACACTGTGATAATGGAATCAAATCTGATACAAGTTTCATAATGAGACGAGCTTTAGTTTCCTTTTGTTGATGAAATCAAAGACCTGCTGTCGGGGAAAGTCAAACTGGACGTCTGTGGAACGAAACGCGTCTTCCAGATGATGTTTCAGGAAAGCGAGTCGCATCTCAAAGCCTGTGAAACTTAAAGCAAAATTTCATCATGTGCGTTCATTGTGTTGTTTTCATTGCACGCTCGAAATGCAGCAAAGAGAAAAACAACAGTTTCGCAATGGCGCCGCTGTGAAGTAGTGCCTAAGAGTACGAGGAGTTTTCATTTCAGAAGAAAGATCTTGAGAGCTGCAGTCAGAGGGCCATCCCGACTCTATTAGAGCCAAACCATTTCACAATTCAGCTTATGAATGTGCACTTAAAGCCTGACAGGCCAATAGAGACGGCTCATTTTGCTACAATCCTCCATTTTTTATTTCTCGTTGATCTGTTCCCCTCAAACTGTACATTTGGATTAAGAGTGTATCTGTATTAAAGAGGTATAATAATGCGCCGTAAGCCTGCCGGCAGACAGACTGGGATATTAGGAATGTCAGAATCCCTCTCATGTTCTGGACAACTTTTAATAAAATTGGCAAGCTGGGTGGAAAACTTTATGAGGACGCTTTCCTATAGCGTATATAAAGAGAGAAGAGTTTGTTGGAATTTCTCGATAAATGAAACGATCATGGTAGCTTAAGCTGGACTAAATGAGCAGTGAGGGATTTGTGAGGCTTAATGTCAGAATTAGTGCTTTGTCATTTCTCACTCTACTTTGTAAGTGATCTGACAGGAAGCTTTTCTCAAAGAAAGAGTTTTTCCTTTTGATTAACCTTTTAACTTTAGGATTGTGTTGCTTGTAAAATGGATTTATTATTGTTAAAAGGTGTAGTGTGTTTCAGACTTCAGTGTCAAATCTACATATACTCAAATAATATTTCAGTTTTGTGCAGTCAGATTAATGTGAAACCCAATTGAGAAATGTTTCAAATTGATGATAAATAAGACCTTAAGGAGTTTGAATAAGAAAAGTGTATACCATAATAAAACAAAAGTAACTGTAAATGTATGAAGTTAAACTGACTACCTTTTTATTAAAAAGTATGAACTGCACATCAATTAAAAGTATAATCTTCTGCAATGAAAATGAATGAAATATGAAATATTGTATCTCAGCAGCAACTACGTATATTTGGTATTCCAGAACTATAAGTAACTTTTAGTGATATATTTTACATAAATTAAGCTCAATTATTGATTTAAATGAGAAAAGTAACTTTGTTATCTGAATTAATTAAAAGCAACATGGAACTGAAATAACTTTCTAAATTTGCAATGAAACAAAAAAGCACCTTTAATAAAATAATATTATGTCCAGATTTTAATCAAACGTATGAACAAACTGATTAAAAATAACACAAGAATCTTGTAAAGCAAAATTAATAAGTGTTTAAGGTATGAACTAAAATGATGTCTGTTATTAAATAATACAAAACGATGTAAATTTTTTAAAATGTCTAGTAATTAAATATGTACTTAAACCTAAAAAAGTGACTAAAAACCTTTTAAAGTATGAACCTATTTTTTTATTAAAAGTATAAGCTGAAATTAATTAAAAGCATGAACATAAGAAATACGTACAAAAGTTTGTCAAATGAAAACGTGTCAATATTTATATATAATGTTGTAGAAATATATAAAAATTAAAACATATTTATTTATTGTTTGGTTAATAATATTCCAAAATTCACAACATTATCAACAATAGCTGTAATTAACGTATAAAATGGCTGTGATTTTTATCTGTAAAAATAAATGTTACAAACAATATTTTGTACAATATACGAAGAATAACCATAAATCAACTTTCCCAGAATTCCCTGCATTATCCTTCAATATTTATATTTCTGTTTGTTTGTTTGTTTGTTTTGACACTACTATGGTTCCTAATAGTCTCTTTGTGTATTTTTGTTGTTGTTACTGTATATGTAATGTTGACAAATAATGTTTGTGTGAGTGACACTAAGCCACTTACTTCGTGTTAATATTCTCTCAGCTTGTAGAAAAGCTGTTTGAGATGAACTTTTGTTCATAGTGTCATCACCACCAGCTTTATAAGTGGTTTGTGTATGTGCACTACAAAAAGATACAATGTAGATCAGTGTTTCTCAACCACGTTCCTGAAGGACCACCAGCTCTGCACATTTCCCATAGCTGCGTCCCAAGTGGCACACTATACACTATGCACTTATGCACTTACACACTCAACAGCAGAGTACATGAGTGTAGTGTCGTTCCAAATGGAAAACTAATGGGTTTTTTACTAAGCTGAAATTACAAACCATTTTCCAGATGACGTTTGTTGGTTGCCAAATTAGTGAAATAAATGACCAAACTACCAAATAATACCTGCCATGAGTATAACCGCATTCACAATCGGGAGGTGGTATAATCACTCTCGTGGGAGAATTTTGCTTTCACAATCCAAAATAAAACAAGTAAACCATCATCAGTGCCTGGAAGCTCCCTCCTTTCTGCTACATGAGCAAAGCAGCGGCTGTTGAGTGTGTGTCGTGTCAAACATTCCACACTTCTGTTTAACAGTTGAATGAGTGCATCATTCATGTAATTAAAGTGCATTTTGGGAGTTTTCAGTGTGAACTCACTACTTACACTCTTTATACTGCAAAATCGCGTAGAATAGTGCGTAAGTATGCGATTTGGCACACACATAATGTTTCTCAACCACATTTCAGGAGGACCACCAACTCTGCACATTTCCCTGTATCCTTAATCAGACACACCCGATTAAGAGTATTAGATCATTAGCAGAGACTGAAAGACCTGTAATCAGTGTGACAGACAAAGGAGACATCTAAAACATGCAGTGCTGGTGGTCCTCCAGGAACGTGGCTGAGAAACACTGACATAGATGTTAAAATAAAAAAAAATGCATTAACACGATATAAACTAATGAAGTATTGTAATTTGCCGTAAATTTGGAAACTCTATCACTATATTTTGTTTATGTAAACTTCAAGTACAGCTGGCAGGTTATTACACTAAATTTTACATATTTTATGACAGTAGTCTCCAACATCGGGAGAGGAGACGGTGGTTCGTAGACCATCAACCATTTTCTCCGAGGATGACAAGCTGACAAAACATTGCTGTCACGCTGATACAACTTTTATTTATGGAGGAAAATTACAAAACACTTTGCTGTGTTTGGGTGTTCTGTGTTTGAGACAATTAGTCTAACCACAAGCCGCGCACCTCCATTAGAAATAACAAAACACATGATATGTGAATGAGGCTGCCATCATTTGCGATCTCCAGCAGTTGATCTTCTTGCACAGACATGGTGGTTTCACCGGATTTGTTAACAAATGGGTTGCAGATCTATTCCTTGCCAGTTTGTTGGTCCTTCATTTGGCCTTTTCCCCTTAACAAAGTTTCTTACTCATATTGCTGCTTTTGGGTTAAATTTGGGTGCTCAAGTGACCACGTTGTAAGCGAGAGAATACAGTCATTCTTTAAAATAAAAGATTTTTCAAAATAAAAACTGGTTCAGACTCAGATAATAAATAAAACGGAAATAAATAATGATTTCTTGTGCGGCCCAGTACCAATAGATCCAATTGAGCCCGGTGGTTGAGGACCACTGTTTTATTATAATGTAAAAGTGCCTAATCTTAATTTAACATTTTTAAAAAAGCATTGCACAAACATGAAGTTTAAAAGCACAAATAGATGATGGTTCCAGCAACAGTCAACTAGTCTCTCTACATGAATGCAGAGGACATTGAATTAATTCCGAACACAACTGATTCCGAACACTGTGACTCTGTGAAGTCCATTTTACACAATTTAATGCCAATTTAAATGTTTGCCTCAACAAGCGTCCCATATGAGTGTTTGATGCAGGCCTGCAGTAAATGACAGTGTGCTGTTGTTCTGTGTGTTGCAGGTTGAGAAAGAGAAAGCTGTCCAGCACAAGCCACCCTCATTAGTGTCCAGCGCCCGAAGACACAGGTCACAAAACCCAATGAACTGGCCATTTGATTCAGCTCTGCAGACACTCAGCCCTAATGCTGCGGTCCGCTCTGACAGCACATCATACGCAACACTCAAAGCAGCTTGAATAACCCTTGGACCGCATACGGAGTGCATTATTTTTTATGACGAAACCGCTATAGGGTCCAACTTCTCAACCTGCTTGTAGATTACATTCATTCAATAAATTGTGCATTTTTGATTTTCTCAACAAAAAAAACGGAACAGGTCTTGTGATTTATTTGCTGAACTGCGGGTGATGAAATATTTAATATCCTGGGTATTAAAATGATCAGTCTCGGATCCATTGAGAGGCTTGACATGCTGGAATCAGTAGCTCACTAAGGGACTGCAGAACGGGGGAATTATTGCTTCAGTCTGAACATGTCACCTCTACAATATTTCCACCATTATAATGTACAATTATCCTTTTCTTTCCATTTCTCGGATCGACGTTTTCCTCTGGCTTGTCATTGTTCCACATTTTCAGGCGCACAATATGAAAGAACAATAATGTCTAGTTTCAATGTCATTGCCCGGATTTGATTTATGCACGTAGGTATTTCACATGCGTAATGCAAAGTAGATCTCGCTCGCTCACTATCTCTCCCCGGTTTAGCCGCATATCATGTGACTAAGGTAAAAATGAGCTTGATGTTAGCTGTTTTCTCAGAGTTGCATCAGGAAATGGTCAAGATGCGAGAAATGAAGCTGCTTTGGTCTGGAAATGAGAGTTCATGTATTCTGCTCTTTCTGCATGTGTCACAAAGAGTTGATCACATGGGAGTCGGCCAGAACACCTGAACACAAGCCGGGCATTGTGTGTTGCGCTGACCTCAGTGTCATGTGACTCTGAGATGGCCAGGTGTTGTCTGGATCTGGAGCAAAAGAAAAAGACCCAACCGAAAACAAGCTAAAGAAATGAAGAGGGAAAACATGCCTGGAACTACATAAAATGCAGGGAGTGTGAATCACATTATTTAAAAAGGCCATACTAAAGTTTGAGATTCAGCATTTAGATTTAAGAAATTGGATTTAGAATTAATTCAAACTGGAAATACATGTGATATTACAGTTACAATAAACATTTAATGCACTTTAACTCTTAGCACTGTTCAAATGGACTATCCTTTTGTTATGTTCAGGATGAAAACGTCCACTGAGTCAAACTGCTGTAAAAATGCAACGGAAAAATATTTTTTTCAAATTTTCTTGCATAAATCTATTAATCAGCCTCAGTCCTGATCAAAACTACTGAATGTTTTTAAAAATTACAGGATTTTAACTCTTTAATGCCAAATTCACAAATGATGTCAGTGATTTGGTGAAAAAAAAAAACAGACAAATGACGTATTTTTATTATAAAAAGTAATTGTGAACTTGATTTTTTTTACCTTTTATCACAGTCTTGGTCATATGAATGACTAGTAACAACATTGGCATTTTTTCTCCCTAATTTACTGTTGGTGGCTTTTTTTTTTTTTTTTTTGCACCAATGACTTTCATTATAGCCACATTTGATGGTGCATAAATAAACAGGTTTTGTTTTTGTTTACTCCATATAGTTCTGAGAGCTGAGATGCATATTTTGATTTTCTCAGACACGTCAATGTAAAAGGGCAAATGTCAATAACGATCAATAGTAAAAATTACAAACCTTACATTTTCCCAACAGCAAAAACCACCAACAATCAAAAATGCATGATTATATATTGTGATGGTTTTGTTATCAAAATAATGTGGTTATAATGGAAGTCAATGGGGCAAAAACAGCCACCAACAGTAAATTAAGGAGAAAAAAATCTAAACTTTGAGAACTCAGAATTGATTTAAACTGGAAATACACATGATGTTGTTACATTTAACGCATTTAACCGTTGAGCACTGTTCCAATTTACTTCACAATTACTTTTCTATTAAAAATACTTAATTTTGTGTGTTTTTTTTCACCAAATCAGTGACATCATTTATGAATTTGGCAATTAAAGAGTTAAAATCCTGTAATTTTCTAAACAATTTAGTAGTTTTAATCAGGACTGAGGCTAATTAACAGATTTACGCAAAAAATAAATGATTTGATGCATTTTACAGCAGTTAAATTCAGTAGGTGTTTTCATCACGGACAAAACAAATGGGTTGTGAATTAGGGTGTATCAATAATCAAATAAAAAAATCAAAGCATTTACTCAAAATATGTGTGAAAATAAGATTTTTCACTAAGGTTTGTCCACTACCTGAAACACAGAAAAATATATGGCCAAATTAAGACTCTAAATCACCCCAGAGAGGATGAAAACACCCTTAACAGCACATAAGAGTTAAAATGCTTATTTGAATGCAGAAAATAGTTTGAAAGAACATTTACAGTAATTCTCTGAAGCATTTAGACAAGGGGTGTCCAACTCAGTGTCCTGCATAGTTTAACTCCAACTTACTTTAACACACCTGCCTGAAAGTTTTAGTATACCTAGAAAGAGCTTGATTAGCTGGTTAAGAGTGCTTAACTTGGGTTGGAACTAAAATATGCAGGACATCGGCCTTCCAGGACCGAGTTTGGGCATACCTGATTTAGACAAATAAAATACAAACTCAAATTCAGACAGTTTAATGTTGATTTAGTTCCAGATTTAGCTTCAAATATCAATGCATTAACAGTTTGTCCTGAGTGTTAAAAAGGAACTGTCTTCACTAAACCCCTAAAAGAGGGGTCACCAGTCTCGGTTTAGGAGGGCCGGTGTCCCTGCAGGGTTTAGCTCCAACTTGCCTCAACACACCTGTCAGGGTGCTTCGAGTATACCTAGTAAGACCTTGATTAGTTTGTTCAGGTGTGTTTGATTAGGGTTGGAGCTAAAATCTGGAGGACACTGGCCCTCCAGGAACAAGTTTGGTGATCCCTGCTCTAAAATATCGCAGCATTTCAATTCTCAAATATATTTTCCATGAAGAAACGTGTCATCACTCATCACAAACCCTGTGAATTTCTAGGTTTTCCCCCACCAGTGTTGAGTATTTCATCAACTTTTAATCATTGGGCACCTTTTTACTACAGTAAAGGTTTATATTTTTTAATCCTAATCCTAAATCCTAAAATCTACAGATTTTCTTATGTAGTGTCAGGGCCATAGACATACACAGACAGCCTAGTTTTCATGGGCTGCTTTATGTGTGCTGTGACTTTTAAATAGATGATACTGCTAAACTAGCATAAAAAGACAACATTTTAGTTTGTTTTGTTTGTTAGTTTGTAAATGATCTACATGTGACACTAGAGCATAAATCCAGGCTTATGATGCTCTGGTATATTTTTGTTTGAGACAAAATTAATACATTATTATATGTAATAAATTTATACAAATTGTATACGATGCAAAAATCATTAGGATATAATGTAAAGCTCATGTTCCATAAATATATTTTGTAACTTCTGCAAATATAGCAAACTATGCTTTCTGATTAGTAATATGTATTGATAAGAACTTAATTTGGATTAGTTTAAACATGATTTTCTCAGTATTTTGATACTCGAATCCGGAGATTCCAGATTTTCAAATAGGTTTATCTTGACCAATTAGTGTGCTATCAAACCAAACATCAATAAAAGGCTAATTTATTAAACTTTATCATTCAGATGATGTATTAATCTAAAAAAAAAAAAAAAAAAAAAAAAAGAAATACACTTATCACTTATTTCGTAGGGCAAGATACCATATTCAAATCCAGTCAAATGTAACATCTTGTATAGCATAATTGTAGAAGTGTAGCATAATTGTAGAAGTGTAGCATTATGATTCTTTCAAACCCTGACTAAGCAAGCAAAAGGTGACTGGCAAAAAACAAACTCTCCAAGTGCGCCAGTTTTTCTCTGGATAAATGAATGACACTGTGGGATTTATGCCAGGTCGCTTCACAAGTCTATAAACCCTCATTATATACAGTACAAAGAAACATGATTTAAACTAGAAATATTTAGAATTATGTGCTGATCAAATATGTTATGAGTATGATGTTCCCAGGATGTTCTTTGGATCATATGAATCGGGCTGAAGAAGATGATCAGCAGCTTTTACTCTGTAATGAACCCATGCAGGTTGTCAAGATTCTGAGACCCTTATAAGGGGTTTAAAAGTCTTTATTTTCTTTTCCACAATTTAAGGTAAGAGGAGAAAGTCTTAAAACTTTAAAATGAAATGCAAACAAACAAACAAAAAGTTTAATAATAATGTAATATTTTAAATAAAATAAAGTATACGTTCCTCAATATATTTGTTACCATTCTAAATATCAAAACAATCTAAATAATTATTCAAACCCCAAAAAATCTGACTCTCTGTAGAAGCTGTGGATTATTATGTTATAAATAATTTTTTTGTTTTATTTTTTTTAAAAGACTGATAGTTTCAATGTATAAGACTTATATATTGGCAGAAACCATGGGTATTAATTATATTTTGATTGTATTGTATTTGTATTTTTTTAAGGTGCCTGTAGCTGCTGACTTGCATTTTATAAAGCACCACAATTTCAGTTGAACATTTCCCTAATGTTCCACTATAATAAAAATATTATTATGAATATTATTAATAATAATAACCTGTGCAAATAAAAAAAGCAAACAGACAGAAATTTTTATATTTGGTCGAATTAACCCTTTAAATAAATAATTAAATAACTAAAACCCTTTAAATAAGTTATAACAATACGGTTAATAAAATAAAGCTATACAGTTAATAAAATAAGTGGAATGTGAAAACAAAGTTGTGTGTAAAAAAATTGCTAATAGCATACATTGCTTGCTTTGCATGAATGTTTCTTTAAAAAATATATTATCAAATTGTGTTTCCTGCAAATTTCTCATTTCGTGAAGTTCATTTACAAGATCATTTCGAGAGGGTCACATGCTTATGATTGACCACGCTGGTCCCGCATTAGCTAACGCTTGATTCACCAATCGCATGATTCCTAACTCATTATAAAAAACCAGAGTTCATACCTTAGTTATCTTCATCTTGAAGAATTACCCTTCCTCTATTACTCCTCTTCCCTTTTTCTAGATAGGGTGAAATGGCTGGTAGGGTGGTTAGCACTGTTGCCTCACAGCAAGAATGTCACTGGTTCAAGTCCTTACCAGGCCAGTCAATGTTTCTGCATGGAGTTTACATGTTCTCCCCCAGCTCGCATTCCCCCAGGTTTCCAAGTCTCCTCTTTACATCTAAAGACATGCGACG